TAAATGGTGTTCTAATAACTTAGACCGATTTTAAATGTGAATTAAGTTTAAGCGTCTAACGATTTTTTTTTCTTTTTCTTTCAGATTTAACAACTTACGTCTTTGGCAATTTCAACCATGGAAAAATTAACAATCAAATAACGTGTTAAAGTTTCAAGAGTGCAACTGGAAAAATTGTTCGTAAATTCAAACAAACAGTGGCAGATGTGAAAATGCTCCTTTACGCCGTTCAGCTGAAAAAAATTGCTGCAGTGCACGAGAATATGGCCGAAAATCCAGACACCTCTATTCGTCATCGCGCGCAGGAATGGGACCTCTCCACACTAACGTTACATCGTTTTCGATTTCACTTTCGGTTGGTCGATTATGTTGACCAAAAAATCACGAAGTGTGCGAAATGCATTTCTGTTTGAACGTCCGTTTTTGTAATAGGCTTCGCTAACTTTAACACGTTGTTTGATTGTGAATCTCTCTATAGTTAAAACTGCCAATGACTTAAGTTGTTAAATATGAAAGAAAAAGAAAAAGAAAAAAGAAATCATTAGACGCTTAAACTTAATTCACATTTAAAATCGGTCTAAGTTATTGGAACACCCTTTACATTCAATGTGGGAAAAGTCAGTTTTCATTTCAATCAAATTTAAAAGGAGGAAAATAGATAATTTATTCGCACGTGCGCCTACAATTATTTACTCCTACACTTTTTCTCTCCGTTTTACCAACACATGTACACGTACAGATAATTTTTGGGGTTACAGCCACTATTTGAATACACCAAAGTTGAGGGGGGGGGTTCTTTACCAAGAAAATCCTTTTCTCCCTTCAATATGATCTAATTATTTTTGCTATTAGATTCATCTGACCTCTTTACGACACATTAAAAAGCGTCAACTGTTCAGATAACTTTAATGTTTAATAAAACGATTATTTTTCATTTCTCTTTTTCAAAGATCGCACACACGTTCTTCTTTTCGCCAACCTGGTTTCCTTTCGCAAACAGAGATTAAGAGAAAGAAGGAAACGATGAACTGATTACCAGAAAGAAAACTATTGAAAAGTTTAAAAAAACAATTTATGAATAACAGTTATTTTGATAATCCGAGCCAAAGGAGAAAAAAAGAAGAAAAAAGTTTCGTTTTGTCGAGTAAGACACATCATTATCAAAGGTAAACACAGGAAAAAATATATATATTCTTTTTATGGAGATGAATATTAAATGTAGAGATTATTTTGAAACAGAAAAAAATCGATGATGGACATTCATGTGCATTTGTAATTATTTTATCAATGGCGGTCACGGAATGTCAAACAATTTATTTTCTTTATTTATACACTAAATTTTATGTTTATAGAAATGAGAAATAATGCCAGAATATGAAATGCAATGCAGTCATTTGAATTATTTTGTTTATATTTCGGATATGAAAAAAATCATGCTTTAAATACAGACTTCCAAATGTCCCAAACGAGAGCTAATTCTTGAAAAGGGTAATTGATGAACGCTTGTATATGTCTCGTGAATATTTTTAAACGCAATCTTCAGGCCATGTGTATTGTGTTATGGCTCGGTTATTTATACAAACTGGTCAATAGTGTATTATAGGTAAAAGTTCTATTGTATTATCCTAATGATTGTTGGGTGGACATATATATATATATATATATATATATATATATATATATATATATATATATATTCATGTTGAAATCGCGACCTTCAGCGTCCTATGTACATAAATGTTATAAGAATTTAGAAATAATAAGATTTTATCATTATTCGATACCTTAATTCGGGATAATCTTTCTTCGTATACGCAACCGATCTTTTATTTCTTTTTTTTTCTGCTTATTAATTTGTTTACATTTATTTCGCGCGCATTTTTTTATTCTCTTTTAAAATCACCATTCTTTATCATCCTTTCACATAAAGTCAATCGTAGCAAACATTAGGTAACCCGAACTGTGCGATATTTCGAATACGAAATATTACAGTTCGCGTGCTAGAGAAAGAAGAAAAAATATATGAGCAACTTACCATGCCCCGCTTAAGTTTTAATTACGGATTAATGAAAGGATATCAATTGCAACGAAAAGCGAAATTAAAGTTAAACGTTTAACAAGGAATTGTTTCACACTGTTCTGTATATAAATTTAACTTTAAATGAGTTATTTATTCAATTTTTAATCGTGTGTAATGGCGGTAGTTACTGCCTATTAATCCAGGTTGTTTATGATTCGCTGAGATTAAAAAACGGACGGACGGACACACGTACACTGCGCTTTATTATTATAGATATATTTGCAATACGTTGCAATGACGTTTTGTCATTTACCAGTTAGTTCCTATCGTGCAGCTCTTCGATAAATTTTGATGTCTTGATGTCAAAACATTCTCGACGTACTTGTGAACTTGATTTTCATTAGAAAAAAAATTTCCCTATCAAACCGTTTGGAAGATATCGAATGTTTTACAAGGTGGTGTAAAAATGACTTGTGGCGTAGAACAAACCAATAAAGTTTCTACATGTTTTCTGTGTTATCATTGCTGTATACGGTCTAGTGTTGTCAGGGTTGAGAAGAAATAATACTTATTTACAGTATTTATATCTAAGCTATTGTCCGCGTCTTCACCGTTGTTATCACAGCTTTTCGGTCGTTATGCCCTAACGGTCTTCATCAGATGTTTATCGGTATGGATAACCTAAAGGGATTTCTGAAGTGAACCCTTTATTTAATCTACGGAAGTAGAATGTCCTCGTTCTGATGACTAGGGATATCGTCTCGTTTTTAATTTTAGTGCTACTCTGGTATTGCTGCCTTTATTTCCACGAAGCCACTACCAAACTCACAATTACTATATCACCAAATTCACGAACCAAGACTTTAATTCACTAGACTATTATCCCTTACGAGATATAACGGAACAGTACTAAAAATAGGAGGCACGGTAGAGTAATGAACAGCGGCTCGGATTGAGGAATCGGAGAGCCGAGTTCGAATTCCAGTCGAATCCATTACATTCACTTACGTGCTAATGCCCTTGTGAAAATTATGAATCCACTTCTTCTCCCTCCCCAGCTATGGGGGTGGGGAGAAGCAGTGGATAGCAAGACAGACCGGCTTCTATAGCCTTGGATGGCAACTGGTCTAAAGAAAGAAATGTCAACCTACTGCGGGAGAAAAAACCTGTCTCGTCAATCATGTATCGAAAGTTACATGATCGCGCATGTTACATAACTGAAGTGAACTAAAAATACGAACTAGAGGACATGCTTGGTGATGTGGGAGGATTACTAGTTTGCTTTTGGAGGTAGTGAATGTTACAACGAAGTTTTCCCCATGGACATGCATTTTACAGCGTATATATTTTCAGTCTGCTTACTTCCAACCTACATGTTTTTAGTTTAATTCTTCTGTGTAAAATACTCCATTTACTACATGATTTGTTTTTTTTGGTTTTATATTCCTAATGCTGATTAATGTGTTAATGCTGTATTGATTAATTTTATGGAACGAAGGAGATTTCACCAAATCATTTACTGATCCTGGAAAATTCCCGGATCGAAATTGATAAACAATGCGTAATACAGGAACTAATTAGAATCTGAACATTTTGTTTCCTGACAAAGATGACGCTAAGTCTTCGAATTACTGACATTCTAATTCAGCACTTCTTAAACTTTTGACACTTTTGGAACCCTGGCAATAGATTTTATGTCCCAAGGAACTCCTGCATAACAATTATTATATACAATTATTATATTATTTTTATATTATTATATACCATCTAATTTTTTTAAATTTTATTGTATACCATTATTATATTATTTTTATATACTATTTTATTCTTTTATATTATTATATATCACTATTATATTATTTTTATATTATTATATACCATCTTATTTTTATATATTATTATATACCATTACTATATTCCGTCCTGGGTATGAGGATAATCTACATCCACGTCCTGGGTAAGACGATAAACTACGTCCAGCAGCAAGGCCTCTTATCAGGAGGCTTTGAGAAGCGTGGAACGACCTCCTATTTGCTGGTGTTCCCAGGTCCACCCTGACCCGGCGTAATAACACTTGTTAGGGTCCCGGATATGGGCAAATAGTTAACCCCGAAACTGGGGTAAAAACAGTATGAAAGTCTAAAAATATGTTTTAATACCAGTAATACTTTTAGAAAATTATTACCAGAAATAAATTTTTGAAGAAAAAACTATTATCAGCGATACATTTTATAAAAAAAATATTACCAACAATGTTTTTAAAAAATAGATATTACCAGCAATACATTTTTGAAGGATAAACTTTACTAGAAATAGATTTTTCGACAAAACAAAATATTACCAGCAATACAAATTTTGTCGACATTAAATAACCCATTGAGGTTGATATGCCGTAAAACAAACCAAACCAAACTAAAACGAAACCATTATTATATTATTTTTTTATATACCATCTTATTTTTTATATTATTATATAGTATCTTTTATATTTTTATCATTCTTCATGTGGAAAACATACATTCCCTACGATTATTATAATTTTTAGTAATATAAAAGGCCTTTATTAGAATAACCTACGAATTTTCAACAATAGCCGTAAGTGTATAGTAAAATTACGAATATAAAATTAATCAAGAACTATTTATCACTGCATCTCTCTGGACGTCTAACGACCTCTTGCTGAACACATGGGCCCCGGCAATCAACGGTTGAGAGAAATTGCTCTAAGTAGCCAAGTAATTTCTCAGTTACGCATTGCTTAGTTTTACGCAGATCTTGATCTTAAATAATTTTTCTGGTGTTGAGATAATACAAACACCTTTTCAGTTCTTTTATTGGCATTTGCGAACGAGCATTAAGACAAAAGGAAGTGCCCTTTCTTGCTTTCAAACTATTTTATTGTAACTTTTATCTAGATGGCCGTAAAGTGCAGAAAACGGGACATTTTCTGGACATTGTCAAGTTAACGAAATTGAGATGATCATCTTTTACGTAGGAGAAAGAAAGCGACATTAGGAAGGAACGAAGGAAGGAAATCGAAGAGCGAGCAGGGGGAAGAAGTAGGAAATGGAAAGCGACCAATGAAGGAGAAAGAAAGAAAAATGCATTGAACAAAATAGGAGAAAGTGGTTTCATTTCTTAGTAGTTTTTTTTTATTTGAGCATAAAAAAAGTAAAAGAAAAATAGGAAATAAAAGAAACGTGATATAAAAGAAAAGATGATAGCAAAAGATCTCCTTTTTCTGGTTGGCTGAAAAAGAACGAATGATATATATATATTTTTTTTTATTCTAAAGAGTTCTCGTCTCTAGATATCATCTTTACATTGTAACACTCAACCGGACTTCCGGTGTAGACGTTAACGTGAAGTGCTTTAACGAAATTGTTGTTGTTATCTAGTGTTAGGGGCGGAGATACGTAGAGATTCTGTCTGCTTAAATGTATGTGTTGAGTTTTATCTTTGTAGTTGACGTATATTGAATAAATAAATAAATGTTAAGCGATGGAACTAGACATTGAAAAAGTTGTTTTTTGGTTTTGCGGTATTTTAATGGTTAGGAGAAAGAAAGAAAGAAAGAAAAAAACTAGCAAAAACAAAAAGTAGATACCAAAATGCAAGAAAAATGAAAAAGTGAAAAAGAACGAAGCTAACAAAGAAACTGACGAAATGGAAAGAAAGAGAAAAAAAAAAGAGCGTAAAGTAAATAAAGGCACCGGCAAAAGAAAGAAAGAAAGAAAGACAGAAATAAATAAATAAAGAAAAAAGAAAGAAAGAAAGAAAGAGAGAAAGAAAGACAGAAATAAAGAACGAAAGAAAGGCAGAAAAGCACTGGCAAAAACAAAAAATGGAGATGCCAAAATAGTAGCGTAAAGTAAATAAAGGCACCGACAAAAGAAAGAAAGAAAGAAAGAAAGAAAGAAAGAAAGAAAGAAAGAAAGACAGAAAGAAAGAAAGGAAGAAAGTGTTGTAACCTAGGAAGGGTTACTGAATGAGGAATAACCAAAACGGAGATTGGAAATGAAATGAAAATCTTTATAATATCAGCCAAATACAATACGCGCCAGCGGCGTGAAGTAGGTAAACCACTGCTAGTGGTGGACTACTTAGACAGCATATTACTCCCACTTACAATAGTAGCCAACGTATTTATGAGGGTTGGGACATATCCATTAGGGTTCATAGTTAGGGTATATAACAGTAAAGAAAGAAAGAAGAATTAAGGAGTAAAATAGAAAGAAATGAAAGAAGAAAGAATTGAGAAGAAAAAGTAAAGAAACGGAAAAAAAAGGACGAAAGAAAGAAGAATCCAATGAAAAAGATATTAAGAGAGAAAAAAAGATAATTAAAAAAGACAAAAAAGGAAGAAGTAAATAATGAAAGAAACAAAAACGAAAGAAAAAAAAAGACAGAAACAATTAAGTAAATTCAGAAAAACGTAAAAGAAAGCGACAAACCATGAAAGAGAAAACAATTTGAAGATGTATAGTTCGAGAGAAAACAACAGCAAGTACAGTCAGGCAGATAGATCAACAGAGAAAAGAAAAAAGGATGGAATAATGAAAAAAAGAAAAAGAAAAAGAAAAAAAAAGAAAGAGAATATAATTAAAAAGTAAAAAGAGCCAGGATAAAGTTTAACAGATAAATAAAAACGAAGCAAACTGTAATAAATCGAAAGCTATTTACTGATATTATCAAAATATATCAGAGAGCGAGGTATCGAGAGGAAGGATTCTGTTACGGTCGGCGTTTACAAGTGGCGAAACTCTTGAAAATCAGCAGACATCATCCGCTTTGTTAGTTGTACACGAACAGAAAGAAATTGAACCAGTGTGAAATGTGCAACCTTGCATAAATTAAAAAGAAAACGAAGACATGGTGATAGAAAGAACTCAGAAGGAAATAGCAGAGAAAGAAAGCAAGAAAGAAGAGAAATTTAAGAAAGCATCCAATAAAGGGAATAAAAAGAACTAATGAAAAAAGGAAGTATTATAAAAGCAAGAATGCGAAAATGCGTATGAACGATCAGAAAAGTCAGAAGAAATTATCGAAAGGCCTTTCTTTGAAGTTTCGCATTCGATCTTCGTCGGCAACCGGTCGATTGAGCAATAAGACAACAGGAAAAAAGACGTGAAACAAATCTCATCATTTTACTGAATAGTGACCATTAACAACAGGTTTTATACATCAATGATCACCCGTAGTAAATCTTCAATGTTCCCCGTTAAATGGCATTCAGTAATTTACTGTGTAGAATATTCTTACGTTATCCTTCTTTTAAGGGTTGGTGACAATAAGAGACTTCTTAATGATTGGTGACAGCGAAGTATTTATTAAAATAATGCAATATATATATATATATATATATATATATATATATATATATATATATATATATATATATATATATATATATATGCAATAATAACGGCCAACAAAATTACTTTTTTGAGGATTTATTTAATTATTTTTTCTAAATTTCGGATAATTCTTTTTGGGCTTCAGATACATATTAAGTAAGCTATTAAAATTAACAATGTAAACAACAACAACAACAAACACACACACACACACACACACACACATATATATATATATATATATATATATATATATATATATATATATATATATATAATGTATATTTTGGTAGCAACCTTTTTTTCAAATATCTTTCTTTAAATACGGCCGACAAGAAAGATTGAATTAATTTTTTTATTAAGTCTTACCAGTATTCTAACATTTTTCCGTTTTGTATGACTTAAGGAATATAACAATTTTTCATAAATTTTATTGTCCCAAGCGCCTTCGGCCACTTTTATAGCATTTCATTTTCAAGGGTGTTTATATATATATATATATATATATATATATATATATATATATATATATATTATATATATATATATATGTACCATGGTTGAACGCCAACGAAATTTCTTTTTAAGGATTTATTTAAACATTTTTTCTACCATTCGAATCACATCTTTTGGGGATTTTAAATATTAATTATCCAATAAATGAATATCTTCGGCGATCTTTAGCCATTATCAAACACTTGTGAATTTGTGCTCAGTTATCGATTTCATTTTTTCAGTTATGGCGTGTGTTTCCACGTAATTTTATTGAAATATATTGAGAATATTTATTCCTAGATTTTATATAATTTCTTTGATGGTTGATTGTTTGTTTTTGAATCTTAAGTCTTCTCCTAGTTCAGTCATATTTCTACAGTTTATCTGCTATAGAACTTGTGTTATTGGTGAATATTTTCCGGATTTCTTGCTGTGTTTTTAATGATTACTTTCGTCTAGTTCGTGATTACTGTTTAGTTGATTCTTCTGCAATATTTTAGCATATAATAATATATTGTACTAGTGGCTTATTTTTTATCAAGTGATTTTAATTTGTTTATCCACTGCGTGGTTAGGTTAACAATAAATTTTATGTTTCATGTGATCACGTATCATATTTCTGGGCAGGAAAGTCTGACGTTGCACAATCGTCCCAAGATAGATTTTAATTTTGAGTTTTCCCTCTCGTAGACTGATATGTCCTGTTATTTATCCATAAAGAGATAGATTCATCCGTATAACAAGGGTATGAGCACATAAGTGAATATAATAAATTCAAGTGAAAATCGAACTCTGCTCTTCAATTCCTCAATCTGAGACATTATCCTTTACTCCACCTTGCTTCCATTCACCTCTTGAAACTTTCAAAGTTGTGTATGTGTGTGTGTGTAAGAGAGAGAGAGAGACAGAGAGAAAGAGAGAGACAGGGAGAGAGAGAAAGAGAGAGAGAGATTCCTGCTGATGTTTAAGGCATGTAGATTAACATTATTTGACAAAAAAGCTAAACTAGACGTGAGAACATGTATTCAGAGATTTTCAATTAAAAGGGTGTAAATCTTTACATGTAGAAAAAGTACATTAGAATATACACATCTACACCTCAGAAGAACTGAAGTTTATAATACATTATATTCGTTTCAACGAGGAGAAAGGTAAGTTAATTCTCGAAACGATTAGCTTTACAAAACGATTTCAATGAATGTCACCTGGTGTACATAATTTTGCACACACACATACACACATACACACACAGATTTACACACACACACAGACAAACACACGCACACACGCACACACACACATATATATATATATATATATAATTATATATATATATATATATATATATATATATATATATATATATATATAAAATAAAATCAAAAGAAAATGGTTGAATATAAGATATATAAGATATCCGGTGTTCTTATAGATATTTTATTTTATGAAAATAGCTTTGCTCAATTGTAAATTTACATTCTGTTTTTTTTTTTTATAAATTAATTTATTTAAATTTTATTGGTTATTTTCTTTGATAAAGTTCCAACCATTGGACGAAAAATAGAAGCTAAAAACCCTTTTCCTATTTATTTTTTTCAAATAAATTAAAATATATTAGTTCCATTTCATCTTATATATATATATTTTTTTATATATTTTTTATCCTTATATATATATAAAGCCTAACTGGCAAATATAGGTATACGGGCTATTATTTCATTTTACTTTAATTTTCTTATTTTATTTTATGTTAAAAAATCACACACACACACACACACACACACACATATATATATATACATATATATATATATATATATACATGCATACATACATACATATATATGTAAGCAAATAATTGGATATAGATCCGACAGTATGAAGAAAAATATACTGAAAAAACAAACAAAAATCCTAATATGCGATTATGCTGTTTAATGTTTAATGTCAACGTCTGATGTTTCTGTCTAATAGACCATCTTCAGGACATATTCATAAAACATAATTAACATAGACCATATACAATTCAACATGAAAAAGACGATGGACATAAAAGCAATACCAATCCAAACAGATAACTGAAATCTTTTATAAGATCAGCGTTCCGTTTAAATATGATCACGTCGTCGTCACGTGGGCGATGTTGTGAAAACGTATTCCTAAAATTTGAGTTGACATTAAACATTAAAACAGCATAATCGCATATTATGATTTTTGTTTGTTTTTTTCAGTATATTTTTTTCATACATACATACATATATATATATATATATATATATATATATATATATATATATATATATATATATATATATATATATAAGGTCATCCCATAAGTTCTGTCCGAATTTTAACTTTTTTGTTAAAATGAATGAAATTTAAAGAGTTAATAATGGAGCTGAACATTATTTTTATGTTTAGATGCATTTAAACTGATCAAATTTTATTTCAGAGAACAATAAAATTAAATTTTGTTTGATTAAAACCCTGCTAACATGGAAGTACCCAGGAATCATTTGAGGCACATAATGCTTTATGAGTTCAAGAAAGGAAACTCAGCAGCCGAATCGGCTAGAAACATTCACAGTTTATGGAGAGGGATGTGTGAATGAAAGAACTTGCAGAAGATGGTTTGCAAAATTCAGAGGTGGAGATTGAAGATGAAAATCGAACCGGACGTCCAGTTGAGTCTGATGAAAAGCTTCTTGAAGCAGCCCTTGAAGAAAATCCTGCTTTATCAGTTGATGAATTAGCAGTGGTTCTCAGTTCAAACCATACAACTGTTCATCGTCCTCTTCAACAACTTGGAAAAGTTCCTAAACTTGGAAAATTGGTGCCTCATGAATTGTCTGAAAACAACCTCAAATCCCGAGTTGACATCTGCTCTTCTCTCCATTCTCGCCAAGTTGTTTCACCTTTTTTGGATAGACTTGTGACTGGCGACGAAAAATGGATCCTTTATCGAAATATTAACCGTAGGTACCTCCACTATTTCGGCATAAATTTTCTATATTGAAGTTTAAATGATTTTTTTACAACGAAAAAACATTCTTGAATATTTCATTTAGCTTTAATTGAAAGTTTAATAATTAAATTTACGATTTCTATTAATTAAACAA